TGCTGGCCCTGCCGGCCGGGGCGTCGCCCATGCGCTGCGTGCCGGCCTGCCCGGTGGGCTACAATGCCTCGGGCGCCGGGTGCAGCCCCTGCGGGTCTCGCTGCGCCAGCTGCCCCGACCAGCCGGCCACCTGCGCCCTGTGCGAGCGGGGCTGGCTGCTGGCCAGCCCGGACTGCGTGGCCGAGTGCCCGGCCGGGAGCTCGTCCCTGGGCGGGCTGTGCTCCGCGTGCCATGGCACCTGCGCGACATGCCACGGCCCGGGGCCGGAGCACTGCCTCACCTGCAAGCCGGACACCCCGCTGTCCATGAATGGGCGCTGCTACGCCGCCTGCCCGGATGGCACCTTCCAGCTGAATGGCTCCTGCGCGCCGTGCAGCGCCTTCTGCGGCACATGCACCGGGCCCGGCAGCACGCAATGCACCGGCTGCCCCGAAGGCCGGGTCGTGTATGACGGCGCCTGCCTGGGCGCCTGCCCGGGGGGCTTCTATGCCGAGGCCGGGGCCTGCCATCGGTGCCAGGCGCCGTGCACCACGTGTGCCGGCCCGGGCGCCTGCACCGGCTGCCGGCCCGGGGACTTCCTCGACCCTGCCGGGGGCTGCGGCGCAGACTGCCCGGCCGGCTGGCACGGGTGCCCCTCCTCCGGGCGGTGTATGGCCTGCGGCGGGAATTGCGCCGCCTGCCAGACGGTGGGCGCCGACTGCGCGGCCCGGTGCTCCGCCTGCGAGGGCGGCCATGTCCTTTCGGATGGCCGCTGCCACCGGGCCTGCCCGGCCGGGGAGTATGCGCCCGAGGGGTCGGGCTCGTGCCATGCGTGCGATGTGTCCTGCACGACGTGCGCCCAGCGCGCGGACCGGTGCACCGGCTGCCCGGCCGGGGTGCTGGTCGTGGACACCGGGCTGTGTGTCGGCTCGTGCCCGGGCCACACCGCGCCCTTTGAGGGGGTGTGCCTGAGCTGCGCCGCCGGGTGCGACCGGTGTGCGGCCGGCCGGGCGCAGGCCGGGTGCGAGGTCCAGGCCGATGGGCAGCTCCTCTGTCCGGAGATGCAGCGGTGCCTGGCCTGCGAGCCCGGGCTCCTCCTGCTGGACGGTGCCCTTTGCGTGGGCGAGTGCCCGCGCGGGACCTTCGCCGCCGACGCCGACGCGGCCGTCCCGGCGTGCGAGCACTGCCACGCGAAGTGCGCGACCTGTCACGGCCCCGGCCCGAGGGATTGCACGCAATCCCCGGGCTCGCCCAGCTCGCGCGTCGGCCTGGCCGTGGGCCTATCCATGGGGCTGGTCCTGCTGCTGGGCCTGGTGATCGTGGCGGTGGTCTTCCTTGTGCGCCATCGCCAGCGGCCCGGGCCCGCGGCCCCGAAGGACCTGGACGCCGAGGACGCCACCATGCTGAACACCATCGTGGAGCTGGCCCTGCCCGGGGCCATCCTGGTCGGTGTCGACACGGACTTCCGGCCGCTGGACGAGCAGCTGGGCGCCGGGACCCA